GAGCGGGCTGCGCTTGCCCATTCTTTCCGTTTGGGAGACTCCTGCCGGCCTTGCTGGCGCTCGGAGAAGGGGCGTGTGAGACATGCGCGACCCCTCCTTTACGGCCCGGACGCCTGTGCGTGACACGAGTCTGGTGGGACGCTGGGGCGGCTAATGCGAGGGTGGTTGCTCCCACCTGGCAAGCTCTCAGGCGCCAGGATTTCTTCAGAGCACCCAGGCGTGTCCTGAGAGTGAGTTTTCTGTATGGTGTATGTGAAAGGGGGGAAAAAATCACCGCGGGGAGGTACAGGAGAGTTGAGTTTGTAGGAGCAGCTAATGCTCAGGCGTTTTGGTGAGGGTCAGGTGTTCAGGAAGCTTTGTGCTCTCCAGAATCGCAGAGAGGCAATGTGTTCTGTTGGCGAAGTATAAATACAGATAAGCAGTTTCAGTGCTTTGTCGGCACTAACTGCCAGTGCTGATGAAAGCGTGTGTAGGAAGGCGATTGTTTATGAAGCTGCACAAAGTCCTGCGATGCCGAAGGGAGTTGGTGGTTCGAAGCAAAAGGGCACTAAAAACGTTTAGGTTGTTCTGTGAAAGGGTTGGTCGGGAGGACAGGAGCAAACCCTGTCTGAAGGAGCAGCCCTGTTCCCTGTCTGCATACAGCAGCAGGGCATTCGGGAGAGGGGCTGGCATTGTGGACTTTCCTCAGGCAGCTTCCAGTTTTCTCCCTGCCTGCAGGTGTATGTACATCCAGCTCAGGGATTTTTCCCTAAGGACCTGAAAGTCTTTTCTTAGGGCTAAGCTGAGAAGCTGACATCCCAGAATGCCTCGTACACCTGTGCAACTGCCCAGACCTGTCAAAGGCTCTCCTTGAACACTAGTTGGGAGCCCTCTTTTTGAAAGCGGTTGAACACCTGTAAAAAGCAATGTATCATTTTGGAAACTTGAAGCAGGTGTGGCTTGGGAAAACTCATTGCTCTTTTTTTCCTGTTTGTATTCAGTTGATGTGCTAATCATTTGCAGAAACTCTGAGCAAGTTTTGTGCATTTTTTTCTTACGGTCATCTTTGTGGGGGGGAAGAGAAGAACCAAACAAAAAAACACCAGGGACAGCGTTTACTAATTCTAGGGTCAGATACCTTTTTCTTGAAAATGATTCATCTGACATACTCAAATCTAAGACAGTGAGAGGAAGTTTGTTGATTTCACTGCCCTAGTGCTTGACAGAGGAAAAGATGGTTTCTGAGATATCTGTTGTTGAAGGTAGAAAAATATGAGTTTAAAAGACATTCCTAACGTCGCTAGGCAATTGGTTCCACAAAGAAGCATTGTAAGATGGCTTAATGTGACTGCATTTCAGCTGCAAAGATGCAAGCAGATTACTGGTCAACTTCAGCTGAAGAATTGTAGTCATTGCTAATTTGAAAAGGTAATTTTATTTTCTGCTAATGACTTCTCTTAATAAAGGAACAGTTACTATCTTGAAACCAGGTACTGAAATGGGCACTTGATTTTCTATGGACAGAGCATATTAAAGCAAATGTGGAGCTACTTAATGATTCCTGAGTATTCTGTCAGCTCCATTACTGTAGTGTTTTAAGTATCCTTATACTACAGAAAACATGGAGTTCAAGTGTTCGTGTGTTGTTGAGAATAAAGCTTTGTTCCATTTATTCCATTATTTTTATGCAATTTTAAAGACAGCCAGACTGAAAGAAAAGTGACTTGCTTAACACTGTGCACAGAGATATGAGAAAGGAGATTGCAACCAAGGCCTCCAGGCCCTTCAGTAGGTCACTCGCCACTGGACCAAACATTTTGTCATGGTGAATCTAGGAGACCAGCTAAACCGGTAGCTGCATTCAGATATTCTTAAGTTGCTTCTTGACTAATTGTAGACTTTTTATCATCTGAACTATAACTTGAACCTCAAAAATTTGAGAGCCAATTGCTCTTTTTAGTTGTCTATATAGACATTGTAGCTTGCTTGCTTAGGCTGCTACTTTAGGAATAGTACAAAAGATCTTAGCGGTTTTTTTTTTTCTTATGGTAATATATATTACAGAGTAGTAGAGATAGCTATGACTGCCTGGTAATGACACAGTCCCTGTTCAAAAGTGTTTGTTTAAAATTGACCACATAAAAATGAGGAAAACTTAGAAAGTCCAGTTTCACACACAAGGAACTGAAGGACAGAGAGATTGTGCGAGTATTTCAGTATTGGATGCCCAATGCCAACACAATTTAATCTTACCTTGTCTCAGACCCAGATCTGAGTACCATGCTTCCCCTCTATTTTACCTGAGGGCGTCATCTGTGCTAAGAAACCCTTCAAAACAAATGAGTATTATGGGTAAGATTGTTCCAAGTTGCGTAGGCAATCTGGCTTTTAAAACGGAGATTGATTGTTCTCCAATACTAATGTTTTAGAGATTTATAAATTTTGAGATTACTCTCCTATTTCCTTTTCATCAGAGAGTGGGAATAATTTCAATGTAGAATCACAAAGACTTTAAGGGGATATGAGCTTTTCTTTGCAGAAGGGTGTCATTTGAATCCATGTTTATATGAAGGTTGTATAAACACAAATGCATCCCTGATAAACCTTCTGACAAATGCTTTTGCTATCAGCCACATTTTGGAAGCATGGGTTACTCTTGGAAAACAGGTATTCTGTTTGACTGTTGCTTTACATAGGAAAAGAAAAAAGACCCCTAAGCATCTTAACCTAATTTTAAGTTCATAGCTGTTTAAGGCCAGGGTGCGGGGGAATTCTGTTTGTTTAGAATTACTTGTAGCAAAATACTTAGCATCTTCCACACTTTCAGGGTGACTGCCAGTATGTAAGTACATCTCGACAAGGATGGGCAATAAGCTTTGTCTTTCATCCATGGCTGTGAGTTCTACTCTGGTAAATGCAAACTTAAATGTTATTGATCTGTCATTACAGGTATACACCTGTCTTCAGAAGCTGCTTCATAACTATGTAATTTAAAACCTAAAGTGTAAGGGTGAGCCAGTTCTCCAAATAAGTCGAAGGAGTTGGGAGTGGAAAAAAGCAAGATGAATGCATCTGGAGGAAGCTGTGGAAGCCCTAGTTCTGCAGAACCTACAGGAGATTTCTTCAAGGAATTGTGGTCCAAATTGAAAGAATGTCATGATAAAGAAGTACAAGGTAAATTGTTAAAGTTTGGGTTCACAGAAGGCTGTCTGTTACCACAGGAAAGCTTTGAACCAGAGTACCACTCCTTCTGCATGGAGCTAAATATTTTGAATGCCTTATGTTATGTGGAAAGTTGGAGTGGATGATTACAAATGGTCTTCACAGATTTACCAACTAAACCTGGTTTAACAAGATTAGATTTAAACTATCAACAAGTGTAAATTAGTTGCTAGGTCAGTGAAGAAAAAGTAACATAGTGTTACATGGATTCTGTGTTTGCTTAGGAAATATTTAAATGTTACTTTACCTTTAAGGGATTATGACTCTTAAAGTTTCCAAATCAAGTTACTCAATGGCATTTTTTCTTTCTCTTTTGCCTTTGGGTTTAGTCACTTCAGATATTAAAATGATTTGCATTGTTTATTTCCCCTAATGTGAAAAATATCACTGCAGATTAATGTTACTAAAGTGAAAAGTATTTCTTCAGTTTTTAGCATTCTAAATTTTCTCAACAAAATTTATAATAGAGTTGTTTATTCTTACATTATATTTTGTGACCTGTGATATCAATTTTAGTATGGATTGACTGTTAGTGTCTGTTCATTCTTCAGTGGTGCAGGATATCAATAATGCTCAAAGTAAAGATGAATTATTGCACCATATATTTATATTCTTATTAAAATATTAGTTTATAAGTAGTATTAATAAATTTTTTTGCTAAAAATAGTTCATAAGTAGTTAAAATTTTGTTTTGCTAATCTTAAGTCACATGATACATTCTTTTGGGTAGAATTAGAACAGTATTTGACTGAATCTTCCAACAAGCATTTCCTTAAGCGTGAAATATATTAGGCTGGAATAAAAGCAGGTGAGCTTTTGTGAATTAAGTGTTTTAGTCATGCAAGTGGATCTTTGTAGACAGACCATTCTAGTGGCCTTGGTCATTTCCACTAAAATCAAAACAGTTCAAAGTCTGTCCATTTGGGTCCAGTTATATCATCACTTAATTTCAAAAACTGTGAGAGATTGTTTTATAATGTTGCATACCTCCCACTGAAAGTCTTGACTCAACAATTTGCAACACTGGGCCTTGACACTTTGTTTTAGTGATTTAAAAAAAAAAAACCAAACAAAAAAACTTCTCAATTTGGCAACTGAAAGGAAAGATGTACTAGCTAGTAGCATTTTGTTACGTTAGAAAAGTATGTGTAACCGTATGAAATATAATTCTATATTGTGTCCCAAAACACCCAAAAATATTATTTATTTTTTGTGACTTTTTGTTTTTAAATTCTTGGTGGTTCTTTTCAGAGTGGGTGTGATGTCAGCTGCAGATAAATGCGGAAGTACTGACAGAATGGGATCTGGCAATCTGTGGCATGTCTGAACAACAAAAACTGAACAAACAAAAAGCTCTAATGTAGAGAGTAATGTTAAGTGACCCCTTCTCTAGTTTCTTGGGATGTGCAGCACGTGATTTTAAAGTTTTGGTTTTCTTTATGCAAGTGAAGATACTCTTTAGAATGCATGCTGGGTGTGGCCAGATAATTTTGCCACTAGGCAGTCTTTTTCATGCCTAGCCCTTTGTCAGTATGTCCCGCACTGTGTTAGGTGAAATTAGGTCTTCCATGATAACATCAAAGACATGCCTGAAGGATAGTTAATTTTTTCAAAAGGTGGGGATCCTCTTATAGCAAATGGTACTGGAAGATGTTTTAGAAACATCAAACACAGGCTTGCCTGGACTATGCTTGCTTCTGAAGTCTATAAATAAGAATTAAAATTGACTCATGAGTTTCCAATCTAAATGTCAGCAAAAAATTATTTTAAAGATGGTGGAAGGTTGATTAAGGGAAAGTTAGTAGTTGGAGAAGAAGCTTTTTGCATGTGCAGTGCACAAGGTACTGAAGACTGTAATGGTGGAATTCTTATTTTTTACAAATCCATGAAAAGTAGGATTTATGGCACATGAGCTTGAAATGGTCAGACATATTATGCAAGTTATAATATTTATATATCTATATAGACTAGAGCATCCTTCAAGCTCATACAGTTTGAAGTTGGTTTTATTGAATATTTATATTACTGTACTGTAAAGGATGTATTTTTCCACCATGTTAGCTAAATAAACCCAGCTTCTTATTCTTTTAAACTGATAATTTGCAAAAAATTCCAAATTTTGTCCCTCTTCAGACAAAATAGCTATTATTTTATCTCAAATTCATTATGTGACAATTGATAGGACGCCTACAACCTAGTTTCCAAACATGTTGGGCATGGTCAATGTCAGTTGACTTTTCATGGAACTTAGAATTGCTCAGCAACTCAGAATAATGGTCATTAAAACTATATTTACTTTTATTTCCTACCCGTAGAGTGTGTAGGATATTTGCATAGCACTCACAAATTAGAAAGGAATTTAATAATGCTGTTTATAAAGTGACTAATTTCTGCAGGTGTTAATACTTGCATCTGGCTCAAAATAATTATATGGATACTTGCTGCATGTGGGTCTTTATCAACATGGTTCCTGAGGATGAATTTGAGTCTAAAGCTCTATACTAAGAAGAAACATTTCAGCACAGAAAATGTGAAGAGAGCTCTGTGTACAAGAAATAACTTTTTTTTTTTTCAATTTTTCCTTACCTCTGAAAAGCAGAAGATATCGATAGGGGAAAAAACTGTAGTCGTAGATGCAGAGAAAATTACGAGGAAAGCAGTCTCATTGATAGATTGATGTAGGAGAGGAAATGGCTGAAAGCTCCTCAAAAGTAAATAATTATAGAAAACAAGCCTGTAAGGGATTTTAGGAGGTCATCTAGTCCATCTCTATACCCTTAAGGTAGGATTATGTCTGTGTTATTGCTGACAGAAGCTTGTCCAACTTGTTCCAACAAAGATTCAGCATTAAAGATTCTGCAGTCTTCCCAGGCACTGTCAGTTTTAAGAAAGTGCCTTCAATGCATTTGAAAATTCGTCAGAACAGAAATTGTCATAGCCATTAATTGGAATATTACAGGTGCATAGTCTAATCAAATTGCAAGTTTCATAAAATGTGTTGTGTGCTTGATAATCTGCCTAATAGTTTAAAGAAAGCCTCCATCACTTTAATGGGGACAGTGTGTCATCTACTAAAGCACTTAAAAGCTTTAGGTAATATAGATTTATATAGTCTGCAGCTTGTCTATTCCATAGAAATACTGTGTGAAAGATAAAATTGTATTGGGAGTGTACATAAACTTATGTAGAACGTATATGCTCACTAGAGTGTTAAATAAGGAAATCTGAAAAAGCAAAGCTCTGTAAATGGGTACACTTAAAACCTCCCAATGCTCTGGAAAAGCAAAAGGAAGAGATTACACCCGATGTAGTAATTCAATGCTTTTGGATAAATGTAGCAACCTGGTTTCCTGCCTTCTCATTGCATTCATTTGAATTAAGAAAACATGCAGCCTTTAAGTAACTAGTTTGGTTCCTCCTGAATTCAGGTGAGAGGGGAGATAGTGTTACCTGTAGCACAGTGCTGGGCCTTTTGAATGCTGCCTCTTCAATTTGTGGCTCAGGTTGCCAGTGTTACAGTCCTAAATACTTGCTGAACAGACTACCTGTTCATACAGGAGATGCATTGTTGTGCAGCTTCATTCCTTCCAATGGGTGTGGAGCAGCATTAAAGCACGCTTTATAGGGGTTCTAATTGCAGATGCCTAATTGACTTGATGAACAGCGACTACTTAAAAAAATAAACCCTCTTTCTATGCTGATCTGCATGATAGAACATAACATCTCACAGGTGTTGAACACTTAGAGATAAAAGAAGTCTTGCTATATTTCCTAAGAACTTTTTTTTTTTAAGTAGTGTCTGTGCATTTTTATCTCATTGTCTCACTGGGATCTTGTAGCAGGCTGTGGCATGGGTTCACTGTGCCTCTGGCTGGATGGACTGTTCCATTGTAAGCGGCCAGAAGAGTGAACCTTCTCAAGCAAGTAGTTTTCCCCTTTGAGCTGTTCCCATTTGAGTGTGGTAGGGGAGAGAAAAAAGAAATTTATTAACTGTCTTAACCTACATTTTCTGTAGTAAGATGTAGTATCAGGTATGTGTTTTGGTTTAAATTAAAGATTGTCAGAAGTTTTCTTAAAAGTTTTCTGGTTTCATAAGATTAGCCTATTATCTATTTTGCAAGAAAGCTCACAAGACTCCTTATGTTGAACCTGTAGTTGCTCACACCTTTTCATAATTTGGAGAAAATATGGCATTGGGAAAAAATTCTTACATTACTTTCTGATGTAATTAAATAATTTCTATTGGACTTGTATTTAACAAAATGTCATGCTGTTGGAGTCTGATTATTTCTGACCGTTTATTTAGAATAGGAATGGCCAGTTTCTGTCTGTGTAGTATCACAAAAATTTCCAATAGCACTCCATCCCACTTGTTAAGCTGTGCTGTACTTAAAGCACTTTTATCTTCCTGACCCTGTGCACACACACATGCACCCAAAACCTTGCAAGCAGATTGGCTGGTGGCTGGACTGCTGTCTAGCCCCTGGGCTGTCAGCTGGCCACTCCTGTCAAGAGCATTGGTTGTATTTGCGAACTTTTTTACTTCTAAACAGAACATACTTTTAGGAGTGTGTGGGCCTTAGTGGGAGAAGGGCCACGGATGCAATATCATTCCTCAGTTCACCTTAAGATGTTCCAAAGAAGCTTTGGCTGTGAGGGTTTGGTAGCATACCTCCAATAGAGTATGTTGTCCTTTTGTGCTTTAAAGCCTTGAATAATGTATTTTTAATGTTTCCTTTATGCGTATACATTGTAATACATTTTTCAGTTCACTGGTTGGATGCTGCATTTCAAGTGTAGTATTATGCATTTATGCGTACACAGAACATATTTTGTGCTACTTATGTGGGCACAGTCAATGAAAATATATTGACAGTGCTTGGTATTAATGTGTGGGTTTTTTACAATGGTGGTTTTTATACTTGTTTAAGTGGTAATCTGTGTGTTTAAGAAGTTTCTATTTCCTAGAGATCATAATAGCTGTATTTGTTTCCAAGATCCTGTAGAACATACCCAAGAAGTCCAGAGTGAACTATTTTCTCTCCAAACTAATGACGGTTTTTCTCTCTTCTGGAGATGTCATTGGCAAACAGAGAGTTAGTTTATTGTTTCGCTCATTTTGTTTTTTAATCAGAATTCTATAACGTGTGTTCTTTTTTCCCCTTTTCAGGCTTACAGCTGAAAATATCTAAGTTGAAAAAGGAAAGATGCTTGTAAGTAATAATCCTAATGATATAATTTGTTAAAGGAGAGTCTGAGTACCATTAATGAGATGTAGTTCTTGTAGAATCCATTGAGGTTTCACGGGTTCTTCCTTCAGACATGTACAAAACTCTGCTCACTTTAATAATTCAGCTGAAGTCATCTAAAGATATATGTAACTCTATTAACTCTATACAGGGTGTGTAACCTGAATGCTGGGTTTTTCTTCCTTGAACAAATGACTTGTAAGGTTTTCTTATCTACAGTATTTCTAGGATGCCTATCAAGATGTTGACATTTCTAATATGAAGGTTAATTAGGGAGACATTTTAAAATTGAGGTCCAATAAGAGAAGTAAGTGACAAGACAACAAGACAACTTTCTTTAGAATTTTTTTTTTTGCTATGTTTGCCTTTAGTATTGTGCCTTAACTCAGCTTTCAGTCATTCAGTAAAGATTCTGGTAACAACCTTGCTAATTTTCACTCAATTCTTTGTATTTCAAGATGTATGTAACTTCGTTCATAGAGTCATAGAATGGCTTGGGTTGAAAAGGACCTTAAAGATCATCTAGTTTCAACCCCCTGCTGTGGGCAGGGTTGCCAACCACCAGAGCAGGCAGCCCAGGGTCCCATACAGCCTAGCCTTGAACACCTCCAGGGATGGGGCATCCACAACTTCTCTGGGCAACCTGTTCCGGTGCCTCACAACCCTCCGAGTTAGCAAATACTTGGTGCTATGTTTTATACTTAGAGGCTACATTTACTTTCCTGGAAAAAAAATCAATTTAACGTCTTGTTATTTCTTATGTATAATTCATAAATGCAGTAGTTATTTAATTTTTAATCTAAAAGGATGAAATTATCCCTTGCTGTTATTGTTAACTTAACCTGGTGTATCTTGAGTTGCTTCCAAGTTCTAAAATCTTAAATTGATCAGTTAATTTTCTAGATGATGAATATTATCGGTGATGTGACTGAACACATACCAAACAGTTTAATTATTGTTTGTTGGAATCTTTTCTACAATTACCACATTGTAGATACAGTAGTACTCTTGCACAGGAGGTCTTGCTCTCTTTGGTGGATCTGAATACCAGAGGTTTAGTATTTCAGGCTTGGTAATCAGCTGGCAATGAGTGCCTTATTTTGTATCCCACTTCAGCATTGGAGCTAATGACTTGTAAATGTTAGGTCAGAGACTGTTCATTATGCAAAGTGCCTTGATAGCCAAAAATGTCTGTCATGTTTATCAGGTGCACTCGAATTCTAAAAAAAAAAATCCTAGTTCCTTCTGTCATTTTAGTATCCTAGTGTGAAGTTTAGGTGGAAGGCATGGAGTATTAGTGGATGTTAATGTCTTTAGTTATTTTTCTACAAATAATTTAATGCCATAGAATGACTTGAAGGGAGCCTGAGAAAAGATTTTAACATTTTTTATTTCAGCTCTTCTGTAAGTTGCATAAACTGAAGAAAATGATATTTTTTTTTTAATGCCATAAACATCAGAAAAATACAGACTACTTTTGTCAGACTTCAAAATTTGCCATTGCCTGGCTGTACTTGGTTAATGCACTGAGGTAACAGAACTTTAACACTTTGTCCTCCCCGAGTGAAAGTACAAGTCTTAAATGGTCCCTCATGCTGTTTGCATATGCATATAAAACTGACAAGGATAATGTTGGTGTGGATGGTAGTACAGAAAAATAAAATATCTGTATGTAAATTTCAGAATTAATAAAATATGTCTGTGATTATACACTGTGGGAGTTTCTGGCTGTCCCATTCATTTTATGACCCATGATTGTTAATTTCTTGTATTAGTCTAATATGAGCAATATGAAAATGTTTTTGACTGATGAATCTTAAAGGGATAGTGCCAATTTAAAAGTATGTCTGTGTAAAACAACTGCATCAACAAATTGGTAAATGTTTTCATTTCCTGTTGTGTGTGTACTTACCAGCTTTCTGTGAGCCAATTTCATGGCTTCCTCAAATAATCCATCTCAGGCACACTGAACACAAACACCTGCTTTCATGGAATATAAAAAGGATTCCATAGTAAAAGGAAGAGCTGGGAATGAATTGTCAGAAGTTGCTCAATGTTCTGTTACATAGATTCAGCTGCTTAGCTTTTACTGAAAGTTAATTTCCTTGTAGAAAAAAAAAAAGTGTGCTTGTTGCTTATACTTTGTTTGCATCTTGAAGAAGTGTTGTGATCTGATATTAAAAGTGAAAGGGAGCTAAAAATGGGAAATTTATGTTACTGCTTTTCCTTAGTTCTTTTGAGGAGGAAATGTTCTTTGTGAATTAAATTGTCCTGGCTTTTAGAGAAGGTATTTTCCTTAAGATCTTCTATTTCAGACTTTTTTCGGGAAGAGACTTCTCTTTTCTGTGTTTTTTCATGGGAATTCATGTTCTATAGACTCTGAGAATTGCTTCTTGAGGAACTAAACGTCAATGGATCTAAAGACTTGTCAGAGCTCTACAAACCTAATGTGGCTTGCCACACTGAAGGATGCACTCACTGATAAGAGAAGACCAAAATGACCTGATTGTGTGAAAGCCCCAATTTAGCTTCCCAGCAGCTCCGCAACACAGTAAAATAAGAGAAGTGCTTGAGCTTACATCCCCTGAAATTGTTGCTTGAATACTATTAGCTTTTATGTTTTGACTGTCATCAACTCTAATTTTTATCCTAAGCAAAAATCAGGTTTATGAACAGAAGTTCAACTGTAATATTATTTAGAAACTAGCTGCTCCTTTCCTTACTCAAACATTTCTACATTGCCACTCATCAGAAAGACTTGCTTCATTTATCCTCAACTTAATATTTGTGCTGATGATAATGATGTTTCCCAAGAATATGAAAGAAACATGCCAGAGAGAATTCTCTATTGAAAAACTAATAGCTGTAATTTAAAGCTAAAACTAATTTTTTTCTCTATTTTATTTTAGGGATGCAGAGAGGCTTGAAGAGTTTTATACCAAGAACCAACAGCTCAGAGAACAGCAAAAAGCACTTCATGACACTATCAAGGTTTTAGAAGACAGGTGAGATAGCAGTGACTTGTAGCTTTTGGGTTTGTTGTGTTTTGCTCTTACAGGGTAGCTCTGGATACTTTGTAAGCTGGGTTGTTGTTGTTTTTTTTGTGTTGGTGTTTTTTTTCAGTAAACTAGTCCTTTTCTAATACAATCCAAATAGTGTGTTTTAAAGAGAAGTGTATAATTCATATTCTTCTGACTGAATTTTTTTTTTTTAAGTGTTTGGCTTGCTTAGTTTAGTTAAGATAAATAGAAGCTAAATAAATCGGTTTGGGAGGCAGACAGACATTTTAAAGCACATTCTTTCCCATCTATTTTTGTAGAGGTAAATTTGATAACAGTAGAGATGTTATACAAGTACAAAACCCAAGGGCAAACTGTATTATATACTTTGAAACTCATGAAATAACTCGTTAAGAAATCTTCGTATTTGAGGGGTTCTTTTTTATGAGTTGTCTGTTTTACCTAAATTTAATCACAGGTTCTGTCTTTTGCCTTCTTTTGGACTTGGACATTCTGATTACCTTTTGACCTGTTTGGCCTTTCCCTTATTTGTTCCTGTTTAGTCTGGTATATAGCAAAACAAAACCAATAGACATGAAATCACAGTGCATTTTTTTGTTTTTAAAAATGATACCTGTTTTGGAAAGTGCATGTTAAATTTGCTGTTAATAGCCTCTCAGAAGCTTTCTGGGAACAGGAGATCATTACATAGTAAACTATTTTCCCACATTTCTGTGTTATCTCAAGTTTTAGAGCTATGATACTCAAATTTTGCCTTCAGCTCTGTTTCTCTGTGAAAGGCATTAGGGATAAACTTATGATCATATAGGTAATAAACTTTGGCACCACATAGGTGGAGAGACATTTGCAGAATGGATGGGCTTTTCTATTCCCTTAGCAGATGAAGTACGCATGTTGTGGAAAACAAAAAGAGTATTTAAAGTGGTTTAATATAAGGAGATGAAAATACTGCGTTTACTACACAGTTAGCCAGATAAGCTAGTATGAAGAGGCATTTCAGTATTTTAATCTTTCCATACTTCCACAATATTAAAATACCCATCAACCAAGATGACACTAACGTCCAATATTCAACTGTGGAATTGGAAATTTAAGTGTTTTGTTTGGTTTTTTTAATACTTCATCTGCTATCAGCAGCAATGCAGAACTCTTAACTAATTGGTCTTTTATTTAGCAGGCACAAGAGAGTCTGGTTTTCACTTTGGTAGTGCTGTTAGCTTTTTGGTTTATACCAGAAATAGATACACTTTAGTTATCACCTGTAAAGTGAACACACATTTCATTGCATGAATGAGTGTCAAGTAAGATGTATTGATCATAACAAGCCCTTTTCTAATAGTGGATATTCTTTAAACAGCTGTTCTAAACCATTAGAGACAGTGTAGGCAATGCCTCACATGGACGTTTGGATCCACTTCTAATTATTGGTGTTTAGATAAAGGATTTCACATTTGGTTGGTATTTGTTACAAAGCAAACTTACTATTTGTCCTTTTTATTTGATTACTTTGCCTTATGACTGTGGTGGGTTGACCTTGGCTAGACACCAGGTGCCCACCAGGCTGCTCTATCACTCCCCTCTTCAGCAGAACAAGGGAGAAGATCATGCATCAAGATAAAAAAGCTGGTGAAGGGTCTGGAGCACAGGTCTTAGGAGGAGCAGCTGAGAGAACTGGGGTTGTTTTGTCTAGAGAAGAGGAGGCTGAGAGGAGACCTCATCACTCTCTACAACTACCTAAAAGGAGGTTGTAGTGAGGTGGGTGCTGGCCTCTTCTCTAAAGTAACAAGTGATAGGACAAGAGGAAATGGCCTCAAGTTGCATCAGGGAAGGTTTAGGCTAGATATTTGGGAAAATTTCTTCACTGAAAGAGTGATCAGGCATTGGAGCAGGCTGCCCAGGGAAGTGGTGGAGTCACCATCCCTGGAGGACGTGTAGATGTGGTGCTTAGGGACGTGGTTTAGTGAGTTAGGTGTTGTTGGGTTTGACTTGATGATCCTTGAGGTCTTTTCCAACCTTACTGATTCTATGAAAAGCAGTTTTATAAAGCAAAAAGCCAAGGCCATGCGTGGAAGCAAAAGAAAACAAACATTTTATTATCTCCTTCCCATCAGTAAGCAATGTCCAGACACTTCCCAGAAAGCAGGGCTTCAGTAGGCATAGCGGTTGCTCCGGGAGACAGACATCATACCAACAAATGCTCCCCTTCTCCTCCTTTCTCTTAGCTTTTGTTGCTGAGCAGACATCATATGGTATGGAATAACCTTTTGGTCAATTTGGGTCAGCTGTGGCTCTGTCCCCTCCCAAGATCCTGCCCACCCCTGGGGCCCCTGAGCCTCCTGGGTGGGGTTGTTGGGGAGAAAGCCTTGATGCTGTATGCGCACAGCTCAGCAGTATTCCACTGGTTTTCCCAACACCTTTCTAGCTGCCAATGCAACACACAGCACTGAGGGCTGCTATGGGGAAAATTAACGCTATCTCAGGTAGACCCAATACACTGACAATTATATATCCTTAGATGAAGTAGTAATTATATTTACAGAAGTGATTTGCATATTTGTGTTCGCTTGAATTAACTTGAACTTTATAATGAATGGTAATTTATATCTGACAGTATTCTTAGTAGGACACCCCACAAAGGCTTTCAGTGGCAAGGTGTAGCATGCTCCACTGTATTTGATAAAGTAATGCATGTTGCTTTAGAAGTATCCAATACCTACAGTATTGTATAAATATATACTATATATATATA